ATAATATTTTTATAATTTCCTTTGAATAATTTTACAATTTTTTTTTTCAATATATTACGCATACACAATATATTATATACATATATACAATACATCGGAAAATTTAGTATTCATTAGAACTCGTAAAAGTTTATATAAAACTATGTATGTTTTAAAGCTTAGTTTTAGAGTTACAGGGTGGTAAAGTTATTAACAAAATACTTACTTTTTTCAAAAAATTTGTTGGCCAAATTTATTAAAACTGTAGGTTTTTAGTAATGGGAAGAGGGCTTAATTTAATGTAATTAAATTTAATGTTGTAAATCAGAGGTGGCGCCAGGGTATTTCAACGGGATATTTAACAATAAAATTTGGGCAAGCTACTGCTTTTTTAGTTTAATATTATTTTTGGTTTAAGAAATTAAAAATACTGTTTTGTCCCTGATATTTTTTCTGCCCTGTTATATTTTCAAGAAAAAAATTAAATTCGGTTACTAGCTCGCTCCTGGAAAAATTATGGTCACGAGTGGATAAATTAATTTTATTTAAGATAGAAAAAAAATGCAGGAGACAAAAATTGCTTTATCTACATATACATATATAATACAATCAAACATAATCTAAATATAATCAAACTCATAAAAAATCAGTGGCGCAACCCTACTTACTGTATTAACTTTGACACCCTGTATCTCTAAAACAAGGCTAAAACAAACTAAGGACCAGTATATTTACCTCCCTTTAAATTTACTGGACAGATAACTGTCAAAGTTAGAATTGTTGACATAATTGTACTCTCTAAAAATCAATTAGTCAAAAATGACTAATTTAATACCTAGTTATTATTTTCACTTGTACCATGGTTGACCATGAAATACCATGGTATACCAAAATTTAACAGCCCTTATGTAAAATTGTCCCCTGAGTCCGAAAATGTCGTCAAAAGTTAAAAAAGTAGAACAGTTTTTGAGAAATAGTCAAATTTCCATTTAATATAGAATTGACCATATCTCAAAAACTGCTCCACTTTCATAATTTTTGGATTTTCGGATCCATGGTATTTCATGGTTAACCATGGTACAAGTGAAAAAGCACCAACTAATAACTGTTAAATTAGTCATTTTTGACTAATCAGCATTGAGTAAATTAACTGGAAGGTGAATATACTGCCCCTAAGTAAATTAAATAATTGTTAAATGAATATTAAATATTTATTTAGAATTAAATATTAAATATTTATTTAGAATTAAATATTTATGCAAAATAAACTCCTGGACAAAATTAACGCAACATCAAAAAATTTGCCACATTTTTTATGCTATTTTTTTGTTGAATTTATGATCCGATTTGAATGATTTTTGTTTTGCATTGTAGGTTGGTTACTTGACAATGTCATAATTTTCGCTGTTTATGATAAAAAGTTCATTTTGGATTTATACCGGGTGTAATAAAAATGTACTGTTTTTTTCCGAAAATTCGTATCACCCTGTGGAGTATACTAGCAACCGAAACCTATAGCAGTTAACATTAGACGGTAGGTCCATATTTCGCCAACATATTCTTTTTTGGTTTACTTCATTATCTCTGTTATTAAAGGAGATACGCTGTTTTATAGCGTAACATGTTTTTATAGACTTTATTATTCAAAACATTAATTGTTAAATGTTTTCAAGTAGGCTATGGAAAATTCGCCATACTTATAACAACTGTTCGAAAACTGCTTATTAAATGTTCGTTTCGTATTTTAATCTTGAAAAATGAATCGTCCAAAAAATTTTTCGACAGAAGAAGCAGTAAGAGACTTAACTTTGGTGAATGAGGGCTATTCGATGTCATGTTGCTAATGTGATAGGAAGACATCGTTCGACTATAAGTCGTATGGTTAAACGATTTAACGAGACAGGATCTTACTCTTCAAGGTCAGGACAAGGGCGAAAACGATGTACCGATCCAAGGGATGAGCGTTTTATTAGGCAAACTGCTCTAGAAACAGGAAGATTACTAGTACAAGGCTAAAAAGTGAGCTTAGAACTGCTCGCCATAATACAATATCGTCTCGAACAATCAGGAGACGTTTAAATGAGGCAGGAGAAGACCGGCAAAGAAACAATTACTTAAGTAATTGTTTCTTTGCCGGTCTTCTCCTTAATTACCATAGAGCACAGAGTTTCAAGATTGCGTTTTGCCAGAAATTATCATCATTGGACTGTTAATGATTGGAAGAATGTTTTATTTTCTGATGAAACGAGAGTCACTCCTGATGGTGTGAACGTGTTTGGGGAAGGTCAGGAGAGAGATTTGCAAGTGGCAATATCTCTCCTAAAATCCCGTTTGGTGAAGGCTCAGTAATGATTTGGGGAGGAATATGCTTCAACGGACGCACAGAGTTAGTCCCTATACGTGTAAGATCAATGAACGCCGATTATTATCTAGAAAACATGTAATGCCATTTGTTCCTTTTTTGGGACCTAACTCTCTAAAAATGAAATAGTCAAAATTCTACTATTTGAATTAGTAAAAGCATTTTTTACTAACAAAATAGTCGTTTTCACTTTTAAACAGTTATTTTTTACTATGTAAATAGTTAAAGTTTGACTAATTTAAGATTAGTCACCATATTTGACTATTTCTGACAGTTAAAAGTAACTAATTTCTTTAGTCGTTTACGGCCAACAACAAAGTATTATTTGAATTAAATGCATATACCTCTCCATGGTTAAATGACCCATAAAACAAATAAAGATGCAAAAAGTTTAGCTCAAAATAGCAAGACAAATAATATATTAAACTTTAAAATATTATGAACCATATTTATTGACAAATAAAATTAATTTTTATAAGAGCGGCTGACAGCCGAATGCGTTAAGACGTTAGCTTGACAAACTTGTCAAGTGACAGACCTGAGTTCAATCCCAGGCTGGGTCAAAACTTTTTTTAAATTTAAATTTACTAATTTGACTATTTCATTCAGTGGAATTTGACTAATTATTAGTGACTGCTTTTTCACTATGACAATTAGTCAAATATGACTTATAATTAGTTATTTTTGACTAATTCATTTTAAGAGAGAATAGTTTATTTATGCAGGATTATGCATTTATCAAAGCGAGCAGAAATTATACAATTATGCAGATAACAAATAATCTAAACATCTCTTGAAATGTCAGAAAAGGTCCATAGCCTACTTGAAAACATTTAACAATGATTGTTTTGAATAATAAAGTCTATAAAAACATGTTACGGTATAAAACGGCGTATCTCCTTTAATAACAGAGATAATAAAGTAAACCAAAAAAGAAAATGTTGGCGAAAGATGAACCTACCGTCTAATGTCAACTGCTATATGTTTCGGTTGCTAGTATACTCCACAGGGTGATACGAATTTTCGGAAAAAAAACATTACATTTTTATTACACCCGGTATAAATTGAAAATGAACTTTTTATCATAAACAGCGAAAATTATGACATTGTCAAGGAACCAACCTACAATGCAAAAAAAAAATCATTCAAATCGGATCATAAATTCAACAAAAAAATAGCATAAAAAATGTGGCAAATTTTTTGATGTTGCGTTAATTTTGTCCAGGAGTTTATATTAAACAGATTAAAAACAAAAAAGTGATTATAACAGTAATATTATTTTACATTTATATTTAAATTAAACAATAATTAAAAACACAATTTAAACATTCGATCATTTTAGCGGTTGAATTTTACATCTTTTTAACAACATACTTTTTTGTAATCTCCTCCATTTTTCTTTTAACTCATTTATAACCGACTGCTACGAATTCAAATCAAGCTTCGGCTCATTGCAGAATTCACTGAATTGGGCCCAAATTGAAAATCTACTTTCCTTGTATTACTTGGTGTCATATTACTTATTTTATTTAATAAATTTTCCAAATCTCGACATTTTAATTTATTTTTCTACTTCCACCTTTAAAACGCCCATTATTATACATGTGTCCAGGGCTGAAGTTAGCAACAGGTTTTTAGTCACAAGCTGAAGTTACTTTTAAGTTAGTTAACAATTGTCAAACGTCTTAAAATAAAGTGCTCTTCTTGTAAAATAATAATGTGGACATTATTTTATTATCCTAATACAAAAATAAAAAGTACAAAATAGTTTTCCAACGCCAATACATATTTGTAAAGTTTATATGCAAGTTTGTACTGCCCTTTGGATTTTGCCGGCAGTAAACTAGATTTAACTGAAAGTATTTCGCGTGGAGTGTCCATAAAACATTCTCTCCACTTTCACTGTGAAAAACTGCTTCTATATCATCATTTAAACGGTGGTTAGTCTATTTTTAAGGGATAAATTTCGATTTACACATAAAAAATTTGACATTTTGACCGGCGCGTCGGTAATACAGATTCCCAAGTTAAAAATTGTTACGCGAGTTACCCTATTTTTTATAGATGGCGCTCTATTCAAATATTTAACTTAAAGTATTTGTCCTAGAAAAGGTAGGTATAGTATGCAACTTTTCTAGACAGGCATTTAATTAAGTGGCGTTTATCAAACTTGATACATACATACTTAGCGTGGATTGTAAACAACGCCTTAGTAACGATCAAACAACCAAACCAACCTACCCTGACATCTTTTCTTTCAAAATTTACATTATAAGAGAAATGAAGAAGGAAACAAAAAAAATATCCACTTATTTTTTACATTTTCTGTTCCTTCCTTTAATAAGTCAGCAAACCGTTTTTTACAGTTTTAGGAGAGAAATTGTCATATATTGGTATTCGGAGGTCAATTTTATTGAACCAAAAATTAAAAAAACTTAAATCAAATCAAAATTAAAATTTTTTAAAAACTTTACCTCGTAGACTACGAGTCGTAGTACAACATTCGCTGCAATTATAATTATACTATAAGTATACTTTTGATTGATTTAAAATGTTAAGTTTGGAAAAATATAATTATTCGTGCTTCTAATTTTTCCTGTGAAAAAGACTATTTTTTAATACTGCTAAACCATAATTTTTTAATATCTTAATATTCCAGATTATGGTGTAACAGGGACGACACCTGCATCTACATGCTCTTCGAATACGTCTGCGGAGGCGAACTTTTTTCCTACCTCAGAAACGCAGGAAGATTCAGCACGTCAACTGGAAATTTTTACAGCGCTGAAATAGTCAGCGCATTGGAGTACCTACACTCGAAAAGCATCGTCTACAGAGACCTAAAGCCAGAAAATCTTCTCCTCGACAAAGAAGGCCATTTAAAAATCACGGATTTCGGATTCGCCAAAAAGTTGACAGACAGGACTTGGACTTTGTGTGGTACACCTGAATATTTGGCGCCAGAAATCATACAAAGCAAAGGACACAACAAGGCTGTCGATTGGTGGGCGCTAGGTAATTATTTTTTTGTTTATGTAGATGTATGTAATTTGGAAACAATGACAATTAAAAAGTACTTGAAGTTAATGCATATACATGAGTGTCGAGTAAATTTTACAAGGTTTTGGTAGCAATTCTATTGTTATTATTTAATACATGTTTATAAACTTATGATGTTATGTGATAATCAATTTTCAACCTGTTGTAGTGGCGGCTGGTAGATTTTGCAAATCCATATCTCAGTTATTAGACATGGGACCCACACCAAATTGGTTATTTAGTGTAATTATAAACTGGTATAAATTTCTGGGCAAGCAGAATTTAAAGAGAAGTTTGCGAAAAAAAACATAGTTGCGCAGAAATTGTTGATTTAGTGTCATTAAAAACTTATATAAATTTGGTGTGGATCCCATGTCAAATAACTAAGATATCGGTATACGAAAAATCCACCAGCCGCCACTGACCTGTTGTACAAGACTTTTCTAAAATATGCAAGTAAAAGCCGTTTTTATAAAGTCTTTATCGTTATTTTTGTTGAAAAAATGTTCTATGACACAAGAATTACGTAAAAAAATATTTTTTTATATTAAAAATAATCAGCTCAGCATATATAAATTATCAAATGACAATTTTATCAATTTAAACACTGAGCTCGGCTATTTTAAAATGGTTTATCACAAACTTTGAACTGGATATACATATTGTGATAAACCATATTAAAAATAGCCGAGCTCAGTGTTTAAATTGATAAAATTGTCATTTGATACTTTATATATGCTGAGCTGATAATTTTTTATTGAAAAATATGTTATTTTACATTATTCTTGTGTCATAGAAAATTGGTAAGATTGTCATTTGATACTTTATATTTTAAACAAGATGGGTTTGTGCAATCATAATTCGTTCTTAAATGAAAGTTCTGCATATATAACTGTAGTTTTAAGAAGTATTATTTCCAAATAATGTATCATTCTTTTCACCTTTTTAGGTGTGTTAATTTACGAAATGTTGGCCGGATTTCCGCCTTTCTATGACGATAATCCATTCGGAATCTACGAAAAAATTTTGAGTGGTAAAATTGAATGGGCCAAACATTTGGATCCTGTGGCGAAGGACCTGATCAAAAAACTCCTCGTACAGGACAGGACAAAGAGATTGGGAAATATGAAGGTAAGTTTTATTTAACAAGTTTTTTCGAAAGTTATTTTATTTTAAAAGGTTTTTTTTTCAGGAAGAGGTGAGGAAATTATGTAAGAGATTTATGTGTGAACTAATCAATATAAAACAGTTAAATCTATAATACATACATCTCAAATACATAATAATTATTAATATTAAACATAACATTAGCTTATCCCTGATTTTATGTATTTCTTTTATTTTTACCAAATAATTAAATAAAAAAAATGCATATGGATTTATTATTTTAATACAGGTATTTGTTTTTACAAGGATACCTATTCCAAATTTTAATGATTTAATATTTATTACTCAATAACCTGCTTACATAAATTAAACCTACCTAAAATAGACGATTGAGGCTATAATTTAATTTTAAAACTATGTTTTAAAATATGCATATTTTAAAGATAGATTTTATCCAAATAAAAAACCCTTGTAATAAAACCTTAAATTGTTATTAATGATTTAATTTTAATATTAATAAAAATAAATTTTATTTTATTTTGTTATCTTTTTTACAGAGTGGTGCTGATGATGTAAAAAGGCATAGATGGTTCAAAGGAATTGACTGGCAGGAAGTTGTCATGAGAAGATTAGTTGTATGTATTATAAAATTAATTAAATGAATATTAACATAAATGCTCTATAAGTCTGGACCTAAACAAAAATTTCTCAAAGCCGTTTCTAGGATATGTGAGGGGAATCAGTATGACCACAAAAATGACCTTTACTAAGCAACCCCTGGGGCTGTAGCCACCACAACTCATTTTTTTTAATAACCCCCTCTTTGTGATACCTTTGCGAATCCTCAATGGATTGTGTATGTTTTTGGTCGATTTTTTGTATCAGATTTACAAAAACTTACAAAAATACTGCTATGAATAGCTGATTAGTTTTAATATTTTAAATAGAATTGTTTGTTTTACAAAATGGCTGAAACCGTGTTGAAATTATTTTTATTTATGGTGCACAAAATCGTTGTGCTATATGAACTGCAGTGGCATTTAATAAGCTACACCCTGGCAAAAATGTGCTTCATATATTCAAGAGCTGGTTGCAAAATTTGAACAAACGGGATATGTTTGCAATAAAAAAACAACCTAGGATACATATTGAGGTTCTTGGTCAGTTTGGTGTAGATTCCGCAATATTTCTCCGTTCGGCATCTAGATTAATAAGGCTTTGAACTGAGTCTGTTAGGAAGGTTTGAAACATCACAAATTCCTCCCAATTCAAAATGCATATTACCCAAGAACTTGGTGATGATGCAGACAGGCGCTTAGAATTTTGCTTCAGCGATAAGCGTATTTTTGATCTAAATAAAATTGTCGTTATTGGAGCAATTAAAAAATCTCATCTCATCAGAGAAAAGCTTAATGTTTGGGCAGGAATTTTGAGAGATTGTATTATTTATTCCTTATTTATTGACCAAAAATTTAAATGTTATATGTAACAATAGTCACCAATAATAAATGAACTAGAAAATTAAAGAGAGGATGATGAAATAGCTTTGGAGGAAAATGTATTACATTTTTAACAACCTCATTATGTAATAGCTGTTAAAGGTTGCTAGAACAGAATTATCCAGAATAATGGATTGGTAGAAAAGGAACAGTACTCAGCCTTATTCTATTAAAGATCTGCGACAAAGAATAGACTATCGAACTAATCCATGACAAACATTTCAAAATGTTCAAAGGAAATCTGAGAATAGACTGTTTTATTTGTCGCCAAATACTTTGTGCAAGATTTCAGCACATAAAATTTCGATGAAAAAACAAAATTTATTACTCGTTTTTTATTGCACAATAATTATTTCTTACATAGTGAGAAAACGACGCTATTGTAGAATTACATGAGTCAACAATGGAAAAACAATTAGATTTCCCAAAGTTGACTCAATTATAAATTATTCACACGATTGACAAGAATCATCCTTCAAACGATGACTGTCAACATTTTAGATCAATCTGTTAATCTTCTATGTTCCTAAAATTTGATGCAGAAAGGGAAAAGCTAAAATTTCAATAGAGGCAAAAACGAAAGATCAGGGCGGAAATGTATTTTCGACATTTTAAGGATTATATAAATGCCTGATACTACTTCATGTGATTTTTAGGCAATTTTTAATCCTTAAACCTGTAAAATATTAGTTTGAAAAATCCTAACTCGTACAATTTTAAAGTTAGGAGAATGAATTTGGTATCAAAATGATAAAAATTTAGTGAGCATTTGAGAAAAATAATAACTTAAATTTGGTTTTTTTCGACAACAGATTTATTTTCTTTTTGCATGACAAATATAAAAGTAACTTTATATGTATATGTATGTATATTTCAGCGTTTTAGAATAAAATGTAGTATTTTAAAGTTATATGAAAAATATACTAGCAATATCCAGATTTTGTTTGTATTACAAAAAAGTTTAACTAGACATTAAAGTATGTTTTAAAAGTAAAATTATAACAAAATGAACACACAATAGCACACAAACAAATCTTACACGTGGCCACATCGTGCTTCCTATTGGCTGTTTGATCCCAATTGTCAATGGACATTGTTTTGAAACCTAACGCCAGAGCAAATTATTAAATGTTTTTGTCTATTAATTAAATAAAAATTTTTATATAAATTTTTATAAAAATTGGAGAGGTTTTGTTGCTACATAGACTCATCATTTGTTGAGTTGGATTTTAAATATAATATTTAGTATATATTTATTTTCCTTAAAAAGCAACAATTATACCTAAAATAAAAATTATATTAATAAATTTTTCTCTATATTTCTTTAAATTTTATATTTTTAAGTTTATTCTTTAATTAACGACATTATGATGTCTGGAAACCCGGTATAGACCAAATAATTTTCCATCAGACCATTATTTGTTTCAATCTCTCAATAGTATAAAGTTGGTTTTAAAAAGATCCTGTAAAAATCACTAGGTTCACGTTTTTTGATCTGAAACCACAGAAGTTCTCTCGATCAAATTGGAGCATATTATAAGTTACAATTTCCCAATAATTTTGGAACGAAAGGTATAAATAAGATCGACAGTGGTGTTATTGTTTGGTAATAGTACTACTAATACCTACTATTATAGTAGGTATAGGTATAATGATATAAATCCGATAACAATCATACGAGTTCGTTAAATGAAATATCGGCGGTATGTTGTTCTATACTTTTCACAAAAACAACCGTAAATTTGTTAGAATTTGACAGTGTCATGGTCAAATTTGAATGTCATGGTCAAATTAAAAAAAACGTCATGCTAGCAAAACCAATGCTTTTATCAACTCTCTAAAAATTAATTAGTCAAAAATGACTAATTGTCGAAAAAGCATGTAATCTTGTAAAATTGTCCCCTGAATCCGAAAATGTCGCCAAAAGTTTTCGAGATAATTTTCCAAATAATATGGAATCGACTATATAGATAATTTTCCAAATAATATGGAATTGACTATATCTCAAAAACTTTGATAATTTTCGGATTTGGGGGACAATTTTACATAAGAATTGGCTGTTAAATGTTGGGGATACCATGGTATAAGTGAAAATGCAGCCACTAATAACTGCAGTAATTAGTCATTTTTGACTAATTAATTTTTAGAGAGAAGGAAACTGGGCTTTGGGAATGGTTGTTTATTTATAAAATTAATGAACATTCAAGAAGATATCAAGGAAAATATTCGTGCTGAAGCGGCCGCATAAAGTTCAAATTTATTGCCAGAAATGACCAAGGATAGCTACGAAAAAGAATATCAAAAACTTCAAATTTGGCTCAACAGAAAAAAATTGGAAACAATAAACGAAGATAAAACATTTGTCTGAGCTATCGAAAAGTTACGCGCCTAACACTTTATGGACAAACATTTTGATAATAAAAACGTGTATTACAATTAACTTCTTGTTGATGAACTTATTTTAAACGATTTTACAGATATGGAAAGCTTTCCACATTCCTGAAGAGAAAGTCGTAGCGCTCTACACCAAAAAAACTACGATATTGCCAGCAGAGAAAATAACGCGTTTTCTTGTGGAATCTTAAATTTTTATTAGAGAAAATCGTAGTAATTTTTGGAATTTTAAAGCTTGCCGCCGCGAGAAAATTGTTTCCTTGACAATTAATAACATTGAAGATGTTGGACGGTTTATAATTGTGAAACTACAAGGCAAAAACAAAATTTTCAAATTTCAAAGTATGCCGCACTACGACTCTTCAATTTTTAAAGTCTACTAAAGACTACAGATACAGCAAATGCACCAAACAGCATATAGGAATTTACAAAATGGTAGAAAAAATTGCAACTTTTATAAACTTGGAGAATTCTGAATGTTTTAGGAGATCGTCAGCCAGTATGTTAGTGGAAAACGGTTGCGATCTCCTTACCTTAAAACAATTTGGGGGCTAGAAATCTTCAGCAGTTTCTGAACAGTATGTTAAAAAATCAATTACCAAAAAACTTAAAATTTCGAAGAAGCTGTTTAAATCAACGGACCATTATTTTTTAACATCATCCTCAAGTGATAGCCAAGAAAGAAAAATAGCAGAAACTGTCGATGAAAAACATCACAACTGCGTAATTAACTTCAACACTTGCTCTCATTGTACCTAAATAATGTAATATTATGCGTGTTCTGTTGTAAAATAAAATTGAAAATATTTTTTTACTAAAAAATGTGTCTTTGTCAATTTAACAATGTCAACGTACAGACCTACAAACTGTACTGTTAGGCTTAACGTTCCAGGCCAATAAAAACAGGGTCCGATATAGTTGTCATTTTGCTGAAGGATTATGATAAATTTTTATTAGTGGTATTTATATATGGTGAAAAATGTTTGCTTAGTTTATGTAAAAAGGTGTTGTATAAATACATGGCAACAAAATTATTTATATACAGGTACTGTAACCATGTCTTTATTTTATACTAAAACATAAATTTATGTTTTAGTACACTGAAAAAAATAAGCTGTTGAAACAACAAAAAAAATATTAATTCAACTCTTTATGCACTTTAAATACAAGCAATGGTTTTTGCACGTTTACTTAACCATCTAAAAATGTCAAATTGTATTGTTTAATTGAACAACAAATAACAGTCAAATGAACAAAATTAGGATATTTGTTCCAATCTGCTAATTTTGTTAATTTAACATTCTTAGAGTGTTAAGGCAACTTTATGAATGCAAATTTAACATTTTAAATTTTAAAATAACATTTACAATTTGTTAAATGAACAAATTTAATGTTGTGGATTAAACAGCAACTAAACGTTAATCTAATAGTTTTTTTAGGTAATCCCAACAATTTTAGTATTTGATTTAACCAATTCCAGCTATTAAATCAAAATAGGATAAAAACTTTAATTCAAACAATTAGTTCATGTAAGATCAATATTTTAAATTGTCAAATGAACAAATAAACTTTGACAAACTCTGACTATTGCTTTGACACCAAAATATAGATTAATCCAATAGGTTTTTTGTTGAAACAACATTTTCAAAAATGACATTTAGGCAAATGTTAACTCAACGAATATATTTTTTTCGGTGTATAAATAATTTTGTTACCATGTATTTATTTTATAATGAAACATTTTTCCTAAATTATACATACACGGTACCATAATTTTTTATTGCTTTTACTTACAAAACTACGTTTTCCCTCTTCGATAATAAAAAATGATTTCAAAATGTTGCTGCTTCTAAAAGTATGAAAAAATGGGTTTATTGTATATGATAAAAAAAACAACAAAACTATATAAATAATATTTAAATAAATTAATGTTTTTTATTATTTGTTGTAGCCTCCAATTGTGCCAAAGATAATGTACGACGGAGACTCAAGTAATTTTGACGATTACCCCGAAGGTGATTGGAAGTCTACGCGGACGTTAGAAGATTCAGAATTAAAACTGTTCGAGGATTTTTGAACGACCGCCAATTTTTGATTGATTCAGCTTCAGTTTTATTGAGTGATATCCACTGTTAGAATAGACTATAGCCGTGTTTTTCCTACTATGACAAACTACACGTTCGCAATTTTTTATTTATTAATTTGTAACCCCATTTGTTTGCGAATGTGAAGATATTTGATGAATTATGAAATAAAATTCATCCAATGAGGAGCCTGTAGATGACTAGGTGCCCTAAAATATTTTTTACAAATGTGATACTTTATTTATATTGAGATATGCTTAATTTTTTATAGAGGTTATTTGTATATATTACTTGTATTTAAGCGTGTTTGTAAAACCTTAATAATTTTGTTAATTACTGTATGTAAACTATTAAGGCTGTTTGTTAGTTAATTGCATCAATTTTTATTAACATTGTACATATTAGATTTAAAAATAAACTATTTAATGTTTGTTTAATTTTCATTTTCCTTAACACCTTAAAAGTAAAGTGATAAGCTCATATTTGCAATTTAACAATTAACCAATTATTGGTTGTGATAATCAATTGTTGTACATAATGATGCTAGACGCATGCGTATTGTTAAAGTAAAAATATTCAGTAATGCATCTTTTTATAAGATGAAATATGAATTTCTAATGAAACCATTGTTAAAACATTCTGTTCATTAGACCTAATCTATATAATACGACCTAAAAGAATATAATTAAGATAAACCTATTATTTTTAAGTTTAAAAACTGAATGGTTAGGCTTTCATATCTTTTTAAATATTGAAGGTGAAATTTTTGTTTTACAATTTTCTGGGATACCCTGTATACATTTTTAATATGTTTTATATATTTAAGTACACACATCTGACACATTTGTATGTGAAACACCTACCTATATATGTTTAGATAAAGGTTTATGATAAGATAAATCAAGTAAAAATCTGTTTCTAAATAAGTGCAAGTACCTATGCATTAATTGTGATTAAAGCAAAAATGAACAAAAGTTTTTCCCAAAGTTTAAGGTGAGATTAAAAAAATAAGTTAAAATAATTTATCAAACCTTTTTAGGTCTCTCACAGATGATCTCACGAAATACAAATTTTTGTAAGTCTACCATTTAATCCATGAAATTATAATAGGTCCGGAGAATCATAATTTTTAACATGAATATAATTAATGTTTTGTTTACTTTTAGTAATTCAGGAAATAAAAATGGCATTCAGATAAAAACATTTAAGTATAAAAGTTTATTTTTATAATAAATTAAATATAAATTAAACCAATTTTAGATCTTTTGTGGAAGAGGGCAGTGTAAAAACTACCAAAAATGAATTAGAAGAAAGGTATATTAATTAAAATATTTTTATATCAATCTTAATATTGACAAAAAATTTTAGAATAATGGATTTTATAGCTGAAAAGAAATTATTTTTAGAAAAACTAAAAAATCTTAAGGTAAGCCTCTAAATTTTAAAACTCTATTAAAAAATAACGTTATTTTTTAGGTACATCTAGAAATGGAAAATCCTAAAGAATTAGACATTTTATCCAATGTAACTAAATTGGAAAAATGTTTAGAAGAACAAGTCATACCAAGGCTTAAAATATCTGAATGTACTGTGAAAGATGTTCTACAGTGTTTGATTGAAAATGTACAAAAAACTTTAAATATTTATTTTATATTATAACTAACCTACTTAATATATTTTTTAGGAAAAACTTTTTAATTTATACCAAACAATCTCGTTAGACATATACAATATAACAAATTATCTTTATATAGACAAGAAAGTGAATTTTTATGATCAAAATTGTTTACAGTTCATTGGTGAACATTTCACAAAAATGTTAATATTTTTTGAAAAATTAAAACAACATGAAACTGAAATAAATGGAAATGCAATACAGAAGAATATAACGTTACTTTATCAAGTTGTTAACATTGAAATGAAAATTAAATTAAGGTTTATAAAAAAATAACTTCTTTATATTTTTAATATACCATATTTCTTTTAGAGAGCTTGTATTAAAAGTTATAGAAGAACATCTGGCGTATACAGAAAAATGTAAACGATTTTTGGATGTAAGTAAAAAATACTGAAAAACGCAATAGAAAATATTTAAAATAAACAAATTTTAGGTTGTGATACCCATACTGAATAATACAACTAAATACAGTAAAAATAAAAATCAAATATTAGGAAAAATACCTGAAATATTTGAAGAGGAAATTAGAATAAGAAAATATTTGGAAATGTGTTCTTGTGATTATAACCATGAGAAAATGGCAGATGTTTTAACTAAAAATGTAAGAATAATAAAAAATATTAAATAATTCAAAAACAACTATAGTTTGTTAAAATATTGTAATTTTAGATATATTTAGGTAATCTTTATGAAGAACAAATAAATTTAGTTAGAAACAGAATAATAAAAATTGCATTTTGTCAGGATTACAAGGTAGGATCATCATCCAGGTTAAATTAAAATTAAAATACGAACATTGTCAAAACAAGTTTATTTATAAACTTTAATGGTTTTAAGATTTTTGGATTTGTGATCTTTAAGAATTTAAGAATATGAGATCTTAATTTTGAGGGCAAGTACCTACTGTATATCGAACATTTTTTGGTCCGAAATGTGGACTGATGACTACCTACATTAGTCCAAATTTAATAAAGCCTAAAAAACAATTTGTGTCAAGCATTTTCTTTTATGTATCACTTTAACAATAAAATCAATAAAATTATAAATTATTGAAGAGGGTATTAATACTGTTCCACGATTTAAAATCTATCGTTTCATCATCAATTACAATTTTCTTTAGGTAATACATTAAATGAATGTGACTTATTTAGATCGCATTCAGGTATTTTTTTAACTGTTGCACTCAGGGCCGGCTTAAGGCAATTGAGCGCCTTAGGCACTTAAAAATTTGGCGCCTATTATTACATACTACACTTAAGGGGCCCTAGGCAAATAAATATAGTTACGTATTATATCACCTCCAACACTGAGAAAAAAGGTAAATTCGAACAAATGCATTTAATTATAATAAAATTATTATTAGGGTAGGTTCAGTACCTACCCTAATAATAATTTAGCAGAGTCTCTGCTGCAGAGATATAAAATTTAAAAATGCATATTATGCAAGTATAATTTTAGTTTTTACTAAAAACTTTTTAGGGTCCTAAAGTTTTATTAAAGATGTACTAAAATAGTAAGTATTTAAAAAAATGTAAAACAACTTTAATTCCCTAAATTTCTTTGTAAGATGTAGGTTTACTAAATGTTTAATATTAACATTTCATAAATAGGTAGGTACCTACCTTAAAACATATAGCAAATTTACACTATCGAAGACAAACAGCTATCTAACATAACTACCTAACTACTGATTAATTTCATCTGAAATAAATTTGTGTAGGGCATAAAAACAGAAGCGAATTTCTTTCGGAACGCGCTTCAGTGCGGCACACGCTTAAAGAGCGGCAAGCCTTTGTCGGCTTGACACCGCGTTGTTACAAAGGAAGCCGCATTTTTTAAAAATGATTATTTGGTACTCTACCGTACCTACTCATAATTGTATATTGTTTATTTGTTTCATATTTGTAAAACCATTTTTTAAATTTTTTAAGTTGGCTGGGGACAAGGCGCCTATTTCTTCTTGGCGCCTAAGGCAACTGCCTATACTGCCTAATGGTTAATATGGCCCTGGTTGCACTACGTAATTGTCATAAATATATATATACAGCTCTTTCAGACTAAAACCGAATATATCTATATATATATATGGGGCGTGGCCTCGCCTCCCTCCAACGCGCGACACAGTAGCTAAGCAAATAGACTTCATCGCTAATGAGATTTTTTGCATTATTATCATTTAATTTTTTAAGTCCTTACCTGCTCGACCTTTCATCATGTCGTTTATTACACAAGCAACTGTGACGCGCCTTGGAGGGAGGCGAGGCCACGCCCCATATATATATAGATATATTCGGTTTTATTCTAAACAGGCTGTATATAAAAATAAGATTTGACTTGCCATTACATTTTCAAGGTATTCAATTTTTGTAACATCTGGAAACACTGTTAATGTGACTTATTGCAATCATGTATTTTTTTCACTGTTGTTCTATCTAATTGGCATATAGGTACGATATGTACAATAATATATATACAAAGAAAATAAGATTTGATGGGCCATTACATTTTTTGTTTTTTATCGTTTTCTTTAAAGAAGAATGGAAACTATTTAAACACGAATTAATTGTATTAATATTCACAACAATGTTAAGATCCTTAAAAAAGCAGAATCTTAATGTAAACTTTCCTGTTTAAAGGCTAGCTATTTTTAGACAAATTTTATGTTTAATTTTAATTATATAATATTATGCATCAAGTTTGATAAACGCCATTTTAGTCACGAATTTAATTTATTGTCTAATTAAATGAGTGAGAAAAGTTTATAAACGAGTTGCATACTATACTTTTTCTACGAAAAATTATTATTATTATCTAAAAATTATTTAAATTAAATATTTGCATGGAGCGACATCTATACAAAAATGAAGTAACCGTATGTATAACTTCGCGCCGGTGAAAATGTCTAATTTGTATGTGTAAATCGAAATATATCCTTTGAAAATGGACTAACAGAAAGAAGAAAAATATACTATTTAAGGCATCGCGTCTTAAAATTAAATGAAAATAGGGACAAAATTCGATTTTAAAATTCTCTTTTAAAAAAGAAAAGAACGCACCACAGACAGCTATAAAAATTGAATAGTTTATGGCAATGGCTGGTGGATAGTTTGGTTTTTTTCGTTCTGAAAATTTGATGTCAAAGAAGCAGCCCACTCTGATCGAGCAACTACAGAAAATAATAGACAAAAATGAACTTGTAACATGTTCATCTTAAAATTAAGGGGAGCATGATAGTTTTAACATCCACAATGTTGGTTAAAAAAAACTTTATTTAGTTTGAGTAATGGTTCTACCCAATATTTTTTAATGTTGTTAGATGTTACAAAAACTCTATACCCATAAATTTTTAATAAATCTAGCATACCGCCAATATACGAATTTGTTTTAGTTGGATTCCGACATATTTTCAATAGTATTCAACCATCTCATTTCATTAAAAAATAACTTTACCAAAATAAGGGATCTCAGTAAAAAATATAAAACTGACTTTGGTAAAACTCAGTTATTACTGGATAAGTTGCACACGAAACTACTGAGGATTGATCTTATTGCATCTACAGGAAGTATTATAGGATTGGTAAATTAAAAAATCTTTATTATCAAAAAAAGTTATAACTTTATAGATTTTTCAGGATTTGGATACTTTGGGAGACGTCTTAATGAGAAATATTTTCTCCATCAAAGAAAATAAAAACACGTTTGAATCAGTGGTGTTTCTGTTTGAAAATTGTTTAGTATTGACTGAAGAAATAATAGTCAAATCATTATGCTGCTACCAAAGTCGTTTATTTATTTCTATGAATAACCTACAATTCCAAAGCGAGGACGACAATTCCCTAATATTTTACACGAAAAATAAACAAGTCATAATAAGTTTGAACAGTCCACACCATGGTAATCTATTCGAGTTAAGAAGACTTCTTATGAATTTATTATTAAAACAAATAAGCAAATTGAAAAAAGAATATAAAGAAACATAAACAATGTACCTACAAAAAATTTTGACAATAAAATGTTTTGAAGTGTTGATCATGCATTCATTGATTACCTATCTATGATTGTAAAAAACGCAAATTCTAATAAATCAGTTTAGATTTTTGTGTATGCAAAATTTTAATAATATAGTTTGTCAGGTTGGGGATAGGGGTAATTCTAATATAAATAATTTACTCTTATCTGATAAAGAAAATGCTGTTGTTTGTAACTTTATTTTGTGTTTTGTGGGTGTTATTGGAAAATTTAAACCATGCATATTTTTTAGGTGAGTGTTTTTTTTGGTATTTAAGAAGCATGTTGGTAAAAAATACATTAAAAATGATGCTGCTAATTTTATTATTTAAGTTGATATGTTAATTGTACCATATATTTAAAATAAACTATAACATACAATAAACTAAATAGGTTTCCTGCTTTTTATAAAGTTATAAACTAATTTGTTTAGGTTAGCACCATATTTTGGTAGATAGGTAGGGTAAGGACAGTGACATAGATTATGTTTATGAGTTTAAATTCATTGTTGTTAAATTACACATTTAAAAGTATAGTTTTAATATACAGAGTATACATGGGAATTTACTTAGATGCTACATTCATTTTTAGCCTAAAATGTAATCTTTGAAACGCAACAATGTATTACCAAACACTAAACCCAAATAGGACCAAAAACCTTATAGACTACTTCGAAGAGAAAATTTCCGAGGTAAAAATCAAAAAATATTTTTAAATAATATTAAATAAAATGCGCAGTCTCCTTGTAAACAAGCTTAAAATTAATTCAGATAATAGGTTTATTAGAATCGATTATCTGAACATAGTTTAAATAGTGATAAAATGATAAGATAAGAAATGTTACGTTAATTTATTGTGAAGGTGCAAAATAATTAAGGTAACATTTTTTGTTAAAAAATAGTAACATATCATCAATTAATTTTAGAATATGATTAGCACTAAAAAGAAAAAACGTACACCTGGCAAAGAAGAAGACGAATTAAATAAAGAGGTAAACAATAGATTACCTTGATATTTTGGTTATAAAATAAAAATTGTTTTAGTTAACTCAACGTGTTTCTACTCGAAGTTTAAAGCAGCCAAAAGAAAAACCAGTTTTGAAAGTAAATGATGAAAAACGTCAAACTTTAAGAACCAAAACAACTCAGAATAGGAACAATACCAGTTTTTTAGATAAATTATTATTTGGTGTAAGTGGTTTCATATAGTCTGTTAAAATTAACCAATAAAAAATATTGCAGCCTGCAATTGCCAAACCAAAACACGTAAACTCAAATGATTATGGAAGCCTTAGAGTAAAAAGTACACCAAGAAGCTATTCCACAAATAGTGCTAGTACTTCATCATCAAGTTCCAGCGAAGTGAAACCATTTAGCAATATAAAAATAAAAATTGATGAGAATAATGATCTGGAATTTGTCGATAGTACACCAAACAAGGTAAATACAAATACTTTAAGTACATTGTTTTTATCAACAAGTTTTAGTTTGAACGACATCACTCAGTTAATAGGAGTATACGAAAAAAACGACAAAAAGAAAGGGCTCAAAGTGAACATGCAAAATCTAGTCAACATTTAACAGTTGAAACAATAGTCAAAAATAGTGATAACAAGGTCAATATGATTAATATAAGGTGCTTTAAAAAGTTCTCGCCGATTTTAAATCAAAATTTTCATCTCTTCAAAGAGTCTCTGGTAATATAGGGTATTAAAAAAAGGGTAGAATATTTCTAGGGCATATAGTAGAGCCAAAAAAGGCTAAAAAATTTTTGGGTTTTTCGATTTGACTCACTCTTAATTAGTTATTAAGAAAATCATGTATCCAATCACAGAATGAGTAGAGATGCGACAAACTAAATGTGAATGTCAGAACACAACCTAAAACCAAAACACTGACAGTGACAACTATACAATTAAGGTCAATTCACCACAATAGAAACGTCAATGTTGTCAAATTGACACTCTTTATATGTGCTCTTTTCTCGTCACTTTTCAACATCAAATTTGCCGATAAATTAAATTCAAATTTTGCTTGAATGTAGAAATGGTAAACATGGATTTCATGTATGTTTGTACCAATGCACTGTGGTGAAAAAACTCGAATAGATGGCAAAATCCCAATGTTAAAAATTTCTTCAATTTTAAAAGAATAGAAATGAAGTATCTTGGGAGAAATAAAAACGAATTCTACCTTTATTACTGCTTTTATTAGTTAATCAGGACTTAGACTCGCAAGTATTGAAGTTGTACAATTTTTTGCATTTGCCTAGCGAAACTAATCCTTAAAATTACAGGGCGATTCAAAATAAAACTAAAGGTACGTTTTTTAAGAATTTTTATCTTAAATTAATTACATCGTTCCAAAAAACTGTATTGCTGTTAAACAAAAAATTGTTTTATTGCTATATAAATAAATTAAGATAACGAATGTCATGAAAACATATTTCTTCATTGCCGCAAGTTGTTGATCTCCTTAAAGATCCAAGTAAAACACTAAAAAATCGAGTTATTTATTAATAGATGAAATTCTATATAACCTATCAATTGAATTATCAGATATGTATATAAAATCCTTTATTTAATAGTATATTCTGTAACAAGTTTGGAATACGGCATATTCCGCTCTCGTAAAACCGTCAAACTCGCTTTTGGCTCGTGTGACTTTTCACTCGAGCGGAATATGCAATTTCAAACGTATTTCAAACTATACTTTTTCTACGTTTCCAAAAATTACCAAAGAAAAAAAAATTAACTGGAAGAAAGTGAGGTTGGATCGGTTTAAAATTTGTTAGACATTCTGTAATACTTTAAGGAATATATGTCATTCCACATTAAAAAGTAATAGGACGGTCATATTCAGTGATAGAAGTAGAAAAAAGTTATTTTCATCAACACTGAATTTCACTTCAGGTATAAAAAACTTTTTAAAAAAGTCGGCCATATTGGGTTCCCCATTTTAAAGTTTATAATTCTACATATAGTATCATAATCAGCGACGTCAAAAACTCCAAAAAACCAAGTTTTAAGATTATCGAAAACATTCTTCAGAAATTTGTCTATCTAAATGTAGTATCGTAATCAACGACTTCAACAACTCCTAAATACCGAGTTTTATGGATTCATGTTGGATTGGTCATTTTAAATTTGTAAAATCTGAATTCAGTTTTGTAATTAGAGACATAAAAAACATGGAAATAACGAACCAAATGTGATTCCAATGACAACTTTATATTACGTACAACGGGTACTATCATAGTGGTCCACATCCAAAATTTTACCACGTTACTTTGATACATATAATTAATGTAAATTTTCTGTCAGAGTCAAGGTCAAGGTTTCTAAAATAAAACAGTATACAATACAATATATGTATTTTTTCAGTTTTAAATTATAATATAATAATACACGAGTGTAATACTATGCTTTTTCTACTCCAATTAAGTAATTTTCATTGATAACAAAATTTATTATAACCTCATTTTTTCAGAATTTAAAGATCATTATAGTCGCCCCTCCTATATATGAACAAATCTGACCCTACTTTTTCCCAATTTAAAACCCGATTGGTTCAAATAACAGTGAATATTAAAATCAGCCTATCACTGATGCCTAACAACGTAAATAATGAGTTCATTATTCACGTTGTTTGGCCGGGCGGTTATATTGGTTACCATTATTTACGGAAAAAAACCCAAATAATTACAATAATAGGTTCGTTCTTTTCGTCTCAGCTCACTTCAGTTAATGTGATTTAAGATGTAGTGATGTGAGTAAGCATTAAAAAAACGACACACTCAATTGAAACGCGCAATCTGACGGCCCATACGTGAATAAGAGGCAACACAACCTATCTCTGATATCATTATGATCTGTGTCATATTCTTATCATTCCGTTTTGGTTTATGATTCTTATTGATTTAAATTTCGTGGTTTTTTATGTTTAAATTTCCGTTAAATTATGGATAATACAATAGCTATTTGTGTATTAAGAGCGCAAAGTGATACATTGCCGCTCTGAGCGAGAAGTTTGACACCCGAGGCGTAGCGGAGCGCGGCTATCTTGCGAGAGCGGCAATGTCACTTTGCGCTCGAATTACACAGAGATTTTTTTCTACAACCGGTGTTCCTATAAGAATGTTTGGTAAAAATTAATAATTATTGATAAACTCCAATTTGAAATTTATGTCAAAAGTCGCAAATACACACTAAAAGTTTCTTTATTATGGTTTCCATGCGTCACGCAGGCCCGTTCCTGGGGTGTCTGGCGCCTGCGTGCAGCATTCGTTGGTGCGCCCCTTTTATATTTAAATATAATACATTAAATATTTGAATTTTAAGCCGTAAAATTTAAAAAATATATATTTTGCGACAAACTGGCAATATGTAATTGAAAATGTAAAAAACCGCTTAAATTAAGTATAAAAAATATTTATTAAATTACCAAACAAACAAGTAATATCATAAGGGCATCTATTTTTTCGAAAAAAATCAAAAAAACACGTTGCTAAGTAATATTTTAACAAGAAGCATGAGTGCTGGTGGCAACAAAAATCCGAGTCGAAGACGAGGATTTTTGCACCTGCACGAATGCATTTTGTTAAAAAATATTACTTAGCATTGTGTTTTAACGATTTTTTCCATAGTTAGATGCCCGAATGGTATTTGACAAGACTATTTTATGAGTAACAGTTAAAAATTAAAATATAAATTGTAATTTTTGGTGACAACAGCTGTCAAGTTTTGCCGCGGGTAAACTCGAAAAAACTGCTGACAGGTGCTTTCATACAGTTTTTCCACATAGAAACCATTTGTAGTTCAAAATTGCGCGTTTGTGATTGGTGGTAATTAAGACGAGGAAAATAGTCAGTGATAAAAATACTCTAAAGAAAAAAAAAAACAATCTAAACAATATAATAACTACAACTGGTTTTTGTTGACGTACTCTCTAAAAATGACTAGTTTTCAAAGTAAAAAAGCAGTCACTAATAACTTTAGTCCACAGCTATTTGTATTCCGGGCATTTAACAGCTTATTAATATGTAAAATTGTCCCCTGAATCAGAAAATACCGTCAAAAATTATAAAAGTAAAGCAGTTTTAAGATATAGTCAATACCATATTATATGGAAAATTTACTAAATCTCAAAAACGTTCTACTTTTATAACTTTTGTCGACATTTTCGGATTCAGCGGACAATTTTACATAGGAGTTGACTGTTAAATATCCGGGATACAAATTACTATTGACAATAATTATTAGTTGCTGCTTTTTCGCTATTGCAATTAGACTAATTGAATTAGTCATTTTTGACTAATTCTATTTTAGAGAGTTACTACTGTTAAACTTTGCTACCGTCAACTGCAACTATCAAACAAATACTAAAGATAATATGACCATTTCTCTCCTTTTATTTTGACCAAAACAAAATAAGCAGCCAATATCAAAGCGGCAAAAGGCGCTTTATAGCTACAGAAAAAAAGAGCGGCCGACGAAAAAAAGGCAGAAACCTTTATCCAATTTATGTTTAAGTATCATATGCAAGAAAGTTTATCGTTACAAAGTACTGATTGAGTCTTTGATTTTGCGCCCCCGAAATGTTGCGCCTGCGTGCGTGCACGCACTGCACGCTCGCCAGGAACGGGCCTGCATGCGTGGTAACTAAGCGAGAGACAAAGTAACTTTGTCGCTGGGCGAGCGACAAAGTAAAAAAAACGCTTGCTCCTCGGAAAAGTGAAACTTTGCGCAAATTTGTACTTTTCGCTTGGTTGTAGAAAAAAATAATAATAAAAGTTTTATTTAATGAAGACGATGAAGACTTTTCCCGATCTATAATACTTATTCTTTCCATAATTTTATTGTAAAAAGTGTTTTTTCTAGTTCTGAAAAACAATTTTATTCGAATTTTATTTATTATATAGTCAATTTACAAAATTTAATTATTTTTATGGAAATTTAAGTTTTATTGCAAAAAATCATTTTTTTGTAAAAAATAATAATTTTATTAAATAAAATAAGAATTAAAAAAATCACTTTTACTTTCTTTGTTCAATTATATTATAGAAAGTGTTTTTCTCGTTCTGAAAAGCAATTTTATTCGAATTCTATTTATTATATCAAGTTTATAGCTAATTCACAAAATTTAATTATTTTTATGTAAATTTAAGTTTTATTGCAATAAATCACCGAAATCAGATTAGGTTATGTTATTTAAAAACTTAACAAATCCATAATTTCCACTTTATTTCCGACTTAATTCAAATTGATTCCTCCGCACAGCATGTGCAGTATCGGTGAGGGGGAAGAAAAAATCTCAGCTCACTTTCTGGTGAGTGAAGCAAAAAGAACGCGCACTATTTCAAATTTTACCGATGTGAGCTGAGATTAACTGAGATCTCAGGCGAAAAGAACTTACCTAATATGCAATAGTTGTAGAAAAAATAATTATTTGTACAAAGTCTAAAGCTATGAATTATCGTAGTGTTAATTGACCTTAATTGTATAGTGTTTTTGTTTTAAGGTTAAGTTCTCTGACATTCTTTTTAGTTTGCGCACCTTTCCTAATTCTGCTAAAGCATACCTGTGATTGCTTACTTTATTTAATTAATAACTAATTAAGGGTGAATCAGATCAAAAAACGCCAAAGAACTTTTTGTCTTTTTGGCTCTACTATAGGCCCTATTTTACAATTTTTAACACCCTGTATAAGTTACTTTGGTTTATGGTTGAGTGTGTTTAAAACTTATCATGGATTATTAAAAAAAATAAAAAAAATCTGGTGGACAAAACCTGAAAAATCATAGAAAAAGTTGAGACCAGTAATTAACTGAAGAACTGAAAGTTTTGAACCATTAGCGAAAGATTGTATGCAATAGGAAGCCAGATATTTTACTGCCACCTTAAAAATTAAAAAAACTTTATTTGGAAGTTTTAACGCATCCACCAGTACCTTGCACCATTATTTGTTTCGGTCTTTGCATAACTGTATAATACCGTATATTAATTAATGGTGTGAGGTTGGTTTTAAAAAAGTAAAATAGTTTTTCACTTATTTCTTTAAATTATGCATAATTACGCATGCGTAAACATCGGCGAGGACTTATTATACTTATTAAATTATTTAATTAATCATTTTAGGAAGAGAAACCCATAGTTAAAAATGATGTAGTTAGTCCACTAAAACAAACACCAACTACCAAAACTCCCAAAAAAGTATCAAAAAGTGGATCATTTTCAGAAAAAGTGGGACCTCTCTTGAGGCGAAGTTTTTCCCTAAATAAATCAGACAGCGATTCTGTTAGTGCATCTTATTTAAGTACAAACAAAAAGGATCCTTCACCATCAGCCAATGGTAAATTAAAAAATGAAATCAAAACTGGAAACGGAAATGTAATTGAAAGAAAGCTTTCCTCGTCCACATTTTATGTGGAAAAAATTTGTGATTATAAAAAAAACGAAAATAAAGTAATCTTGGAAATAGAAGCAAATAAGGTCGATGGAGTCTGTAAAATAAATAAAAGATACAAAAAACAAAAAGAAACTAAAAAATGTGAACTCTTCCGAAAAAGTCTTATACAAGAATTTAACGATTCAATCATAAACGAAGCCACAGATTTTATTGAAACTGATGATGATGTTTTCATGAAAATTATGGACGGGCAAAACGTCGAAGAAAAAGAAGAGAACTTGGATTTCGGAATTGTTAGTGGGGAAGAAAGTTACGAAATTGTTGAAGCTATTAATGAAGTTGGTGAAGAGTTAAGGATAAATGTTATTTGTATGGAACAAAGGGAGAGATTAGTGAGTAACTCAGAGCAGGAAAGTGTTAAATACTACATGAAAAAAAACGAAGATGTGGAAGATATTGTGGAAGATTATCTAGGCGATGGAACTATTTTATTATCTGCTGGTAAAAAATGTAATACAGAAATTATGTGCAGTAGTGAAGATATTTCCAATTCATGCAAGACTGATATTATAAATGATAATGATCATTTTATATTTGAATTAAATGACAACCTTCAATCAACTATACCAGATAATCGCTACTCTATATGTAATAATAATGAAGATTTGGATATTTCCCCTTTACCTATCAAAGAAAAAGGTAAATATGTCAAAATGTATCTAAAATGGTTGTTTTTTTGATAACTTACAAAGATTGAAACATTTCGTGAACCTAACGATGTCTCGTCAAATCATAAATAGCTATTCTGTTAGTGATTTATCTATAGATTACATGCTTTTTTAAATTAAAGATCAATTGAAAAACAAATATTTTTATTATTTTAGAAATGGTTGAAATAAGAGCAAACACAAATAGAACTGCATACAATAATGGTATAAGAGAAACCACTACAGATAACCTGGGAAATGTAAGGATTGAATTATTTATGCCTGTTAGTCAGGACATTAATCAGACTATTCAAATGACAGATAGGTAATTTTTAATTTAATACCTAGATACATAAAAACTGTATTAAATAATTTAATTTTTAGGCTGAAATCTATTATAAACGAATTGATTGAAACAGAGAGAACTTATATTCGTGGTTTAAAAAAGGTTGTAAGAGACTACATGGATTATGTTTCCAAAAATTGTCCGACATGTGTGATAGGAATGGATTCGTATTTATTTGGAAATATATCGGAAATATATACAAACCAAAAAAAATTTTATTTGCAACTTAAAAAAGTTGGTTTGGATGTTGAAGCTATAGTTAATACATTTCATGATCATGTAAGAATATAACATTAAAGAAATTATTACCTAGTAATTATTATTCCAGAAAAAGTTATTCGAGCTATATCCACCATATTTTAAGTCAAAAAAACATTCCGAAAGGTTAATGGAGTCGTTTAAATTTGTTATAGAGGTATTTTATTTAAAATTATTATTATTATTATTATTATTTAATTTAAAATTATTATGTGATAGTGATATTAAACCTACAAATTTTAGAAAAGACAACAAGAATTAGAAGATAAGTTAAGCTTGAATTCATATCTACTCACTCCAGTTCAAAGATTGGGAAAATACATATTACTTTTAAAAGAAATCAAAAAAGAGCTGGGTAAAACTTTAAGTGATTACAGGGGTGTTGAAGATGTTATACACCTTCTTGAAATGTTTATGTCCCAAGGAAATAACGAACTTGCAATCGATTCAATAAAAAATCATCCCTATGAAATAACCGAGTTTGGGGCATTCTTGTTAAGAGACGATTTTGAAGTATCTATAAAAAGAAAATGGAAGACTACTATGACTGTTTTCCTTTTCAAGAAATTGGTGGTTTTTACAAAATCAGTAAGTATATCACTGGGTCAAATTTTTTAATGATCTGATTTGACTAAATTTTTCTGGAGATTCGGAAAACAAATCACCAATATAAAAATATAAAAGGAAAGATAGGAAAGGAAGTATGTATATACTTTGACCGGCCCTGTATTATAACTTAACGATAAATAAATCTAATTAAAATGTTCTAGGATTCTCCACATCAAGATAATTTTATTTTTGAGTACGGAATATCAATAGAGAATTTATACATTTGTTCTGATCTATCGCAGAAGAATTTAAAGTTAAGTAATTTTCTGGAAAGTAAAAGGGATTCTAAAAATTTTGTTATAATGGAATGCAAAATTGATGGGGTGCTAGATAAATGGTATTCCACCATGAAGGAGTTGCTATGGGAACAGTTAAATAGAATAAAAGGTAATACAACTGATTTACAACACTTTAGTCTACTTGGTGGGCTAAATTCAAATCTGCATTCGGTTTCCAAGAAATTCTAACCCAAGAGGGGAATATCGCATTTTTATACTTTAATATTTTGGGTTATATTACCTCGCAAGATATTATTTCTCCAAAAATTTATGACCTCTTTTCCTTTGAAATATTTTTTGTATTTTTCTCTTCGAGAAATCATAAGATGAAATTCAATTTTATGTGCTAGGTTTGATACATATTTTTGATCATACATTTGTACTAAAAAACTGCGAAATTTAATTTTTCAGTTAAATTTTTTCAAAACTTAGATCCGGGGCTAGTTTAAGCAACTTCTTTTTGAATTTGTAGTGTAACAGGAGTTTTTTTAATTTTAGCTTTACATAGCACTGGGGCTAATAAGGGTAAAAATGACGATATAAATTAAAACTAATAATTATTAAAATCGTTTTAGAGGAACAAATAATTAAAAATAAATCAACAGAAAATTCACCCAGTAAGTAAAAAGCAATATTTATAAAGGTAAATAAATTTTTTTATATATTTTAGGTACTTTTCTAAACATGAACTTACCGACAAGTACAAAATGTAAGAATTAAATTTAAAATATTTACTGATAAAATAATTGTATTTTTATTTTCTTTTTTAGGTGAACGAAAATCAACATTTTACTTGAAAAATTTTATATAATTTTTGAACTTATTTATGTATGTATATTTTTGTATATATTTTTTATTCCCTAAATAAATAAATTATTGTATTTTCAAATTTTATCATGAGTTTTAAATAAGGAAAACCAAGCGACACCTGTTAATACACCCAGGAACTAAATAGTTTTAAAGACGAAAAAGCGATGGCGCCACTAATCATACTAAAGATAACTATTCAAAAATGAGTCAGATTAGAGTGGTTTTTAAAAGGGGTCGCTAGGAGTACTTTTGTACACACACTTCTTTGTGTTTATGCTTTTGTAAAGCACTATCCAAAATTTAAAAAAATGATAAACAAAGATCTTCATACGTTTTAAAGGCCAGTGGATTTATCTGGGTTAACCCAGATAAAATTAAATTTTTTACATCAAAATTAATATTTAATTATTATTACTACATATAGGGATAAGTTATCCCAAAAATAACGCTTCCTTGTTAAATTATTTTCATTTTGATTTTGGATGTGTAACATAGATTATGTGTAATATTATGTTGTGTGTCAAGGGTAAAATCTTCCAAGCGAAATATTTTTTGTCATCTTGGTGGTTTTGCTTTTAACCCCTTAAATTGAATTTTAGTATCATAATTAGAGAGTTTTTAAAGATTAATTGTTTTTTTTGAAAGTTTTTACTTTTCTGACCTATTACAGTTACCACGTCGCGACGATATATCAGGCACACAGTATTGCCAAGTTTTTATACTTAAATACTAAAAAAAATCAGTTCCGGACCCTTTAATTATATCGGCCGATATCCAAGAGTCAAAATCGTGTAAATATCAATATTAAAATACCATTTGATTTGTAATAAAGATTATATTATTATAAAGATATCGCTATAATTGTAAATTGGATTCATCACTATTAAAAAATAAATCTTCTTCTGCAGCTGCTAGCCTAGCATCAAGAAGTTTATCGATCTCTTCTGGTCCTTTAAACAGAAAAGTAAATGTTATTAATTTATATTATTATAAATTATAATCTCAATATTTTTACAGTACAAAACTTAATTTTTATACTTGTAGCAATTCGCGCTACACTCCGCGATGAATTCTAGTCCGTTTTATTATTCTTACACTAATTATGGAACTTCCAAAGCTAAAGGCACAATTTTTGATAGGTGATATTATAACTTAAAAATTTAAGTTTAAAATCGGTTGTGTTTAAACAGATGTCCACGCTCTGCTCAAGTCCCGTACATGGTACATTGTATAGGATGTCTATAGGATGACTATTAGTGTAAAATTGATTATTAATTATTATGACAATTCCACCCCTGTCAATTTAAACCTATTAAACATTTTCAAAAATACGCTTTAATGACGGTTAAAAAGAAAAGAACATAAATGCAAGTGACCAAAATTGGCGAATATTTTTCTATTTACCTTCTCCATGGTAACGGAAGTATTAATGTATAGAGAAACGCCAAAGTGAGACAAAAGTGCCTTAATTTATTTATTCGTGGAATTTTTTCAATAAATGATTGAGCACGAAATTGTTTGTACTTTTAACTCTAACTTGGTGGTTTGTTAATTTGACTAAAAATTTTCTCCTCGTCAAATTAATACGTCAAACTCCCAAGTTTTCGTGAAAAGTCAAAAAATATCCGGTTAAATCGAACCTCTAGTGGTATTACAACCGATTATTTTATGAAGTTTCCAAAAAAAAGTTTCAGTCATGTGTTTACGATTATAATAATTTTATGTATTTTATTGACATTTATTGTTAAAGCAAGAGATCAATAATTGAAAACTAATTCTTTAGATCTTTTCTTCGACCAATTAACATTCGAGCCCTTTGGGCTTTAGTGTATATTTTCCTGGAAACTAGTTTTTTTAAATCTGTCGAATTATTTACAATTTATTCTTCGAAAATAATCTTAAACCTACAATCCACACAATAAGGTATATTGTTTACAATTCTTGTGCTTTGGGTTTGTGCTTTAATACACATTAAACATCGTTTTAAACGTCGTGTTTCTTACATAGGCACTTCAAATGAGGCCTTAAAGTACTTAAAACAACCATTTTACTCCCCTTTTGTAAAAAAAATAAACCTTATTCTATTAGGGCTGTCATCAAACTGTCAAATTTCAATTTGTGGGTCATGGTAAATTAACCTTAAAATTGAAATTTGACAGTTTGATGGCAAGCCTGATAGAATAAGGTTTATTTTTGCCAAAAGAAGAGTAAAATGGTAGTTCTTAACACTTTAAGGCCTCATTTGAAGCTCTGTAAAAACATGATAATAACATGATAATAAATGATTATTAATCTGTATAAACAGCACAAACCCAAAGCACAAGAATTGTAAACAACATAAAAATGGTCGCGGTTAGATTCTGTGCAGTGTTGCAGCGATTTTTAGTATACGCGAAACGAGATAGAATAGACCTTGTTGTGTGGATTGTGCTTAAACCTTAAAGTGGAAAAGACTATCAGTATCACTTAACCTAAATAAACTAATTTTAAACTTATAAGGTGGACGAAAATGTTATATTACATTTTATATAACACATTATATATGAATATAAAATCAAATTAAACCTTAGTTAAAAAAGTTAAAAAATCAGGTCAAAATTTTTATATTACATAATTTAACGAGGTTTTTTTAAACAAAAATGTCCAAATAACTAATAAATTAACCTTAATTAAACCATTTCCTAATTTTTTCCAACTTTTTTTATAAACTTCCTGGCAAACACAGGTAAAGTGCTGGTACGGGTTCAGGATATCGACCGGCCCATTTAAAAATAGCTATTTTTAATGGGCCGGCAATGGGCCAGGCGAAATTCTGCTGCTGGACCGGTAATAGCACTTAACTGTGCTTGTTGGGTTAGGTCTAGTCTATAGACTCTAGAGCCTAGATCTATGTCTAGATACCCTTCATGTTTATAAAGGGACTTAAGTCTAGTCCAAAACCTCAAGAACTATTTAAAACTACTTAAAAATTAGTTATTTTATTTACCCGTATATTTTTGACAGGATTTGAGGTTACAAAAATGTCAAAACCATAAAAGGTCTGAAATCCTAACTAATTTATCGTTTAAGATTAAACTTGACCCTATAATAATAACTAAATATTCATTGATAATTTTATTAGTTTTATAGTTTTGACAGCATTAAAAAAAGTACAAATATATCTTACTGTTTTGTATGTAACTGTTTCTTCATATACAGTTTGTATTCCTACTTTATTTATGCTTGTATTTGGCAATTTCTATTCAAAAAATAGTTCAAAAATGTATTGTATATTTAAAAACAACTAATTATAATAATAATAATAATTATATACAATAATTGTTATTGTAAAAAATAATTTACAACAAATTAAAACCATCAACCACCCACTTCTATTTGTTTAAAGCACTGGACACATCATTTATTTGTCAAGTACCTAACGTCACTTTATTTTTGTCAAAACTATTATAAAATCATATAAGATCACATTATTTGTAATGAATGCAAACAAAAAGAAAATATAAAATCCAACCCATCCTGTTCTTGATACAATGACCGAATCGTCAAAATCAAGCGTTAGAGTCAATACAAAGCCGGTTAATGTGTTTTACGTTTGGTATTCAGAACTGTGTCGACGATTAAACAGCAACCCAGCCCCCACTGTGAAACCTGCGAAGTATAAGTCAAAAACTGTATTGGACTTTGTGGCTGATAGATTGAAGTTCGAGGAGTGGAGTCCTGTTATAAATGCCCTTAGACACGACACAAGTCTGCACGTTATCAATATAAGAAGCAGGATAGGAAATTGCCAGTTTTTACATGACATAGACACCGAAGAAAAAGCCCGTAAACTAAAGCGAAGGTACGGAGTATTGTGGACAGCTTTTATCCTAAAAAATCTACTCAGATCTATATCCTGCTCCATTAAAAACACCCAAGTCCTAACTTGTCTTGAACTTGATGGTTTGCCTATGTTTAGTCAATATTTAGAACCTTTGCTACAAGCATTAAAGAAAAACAACACTGTAAAATCGTTGTCACTGGCAAATTGCGTTATAAATGATTCCGGTTGTGAACTGATGTGTGCCTATTTAAGATTTACACCCAACGTAGAAGTAATAAATTTATCTGGTTGCGGACTTACGGCTGAAAGTGGTGCCCACATCGCCAAGCTCGTCAAACATCAACAAATTAACAGGTACTGCGAAAGCTGGCACAGATCCCTGCGTTATGAAGATCCTGACAGCAGCATTATGCGAGGTTTAAAAAGACTTACTCTAAATCGCAATCCTTTAATGGGAAACGAAGGCATTTGTTACATTTTAAAAGAACTTGAAGATGATTTGTGGATAAAAGCGCTGGACATGCAGAAATGTGGCATCACCGACGATGTGGCCCAAAAAATTGTAGAGTTATTAGATTATAGTAAATCATTAGAAATTATAGACATAAGACAGAATGAGGGCGTAAATATACAAACAATCGAGAAAATTTTACAGTTGCTCAAACAGAAACAGCTTAGCGGTTATGAGCCAGAGTATCAATGGTGCGATACAGCCTTATCGTTGTCTTTAAATACAGCAAGATCTTCCAATATATCCTGCGTTGAAAATAGTATGGTGAAACCAAGCAAAACCAGTGTATTATTTAGGCCTTTACGAAAAAGTAAAACTGTTGAAAGTGTATCAGAAAAAAATGACGAAGCAAAGAAACAAATACTAAAGCTTAACTCTCAGTTGGAAAGGGAAATAACTAAGCGGAAGGCAACAGAAAAGAAAAATTTAGAATTGAAGAAAAGCTTAAATGAATTTAAATGTGCTAGCACTACAAAATGCACAGCACCAAAAACTAAAGGAAACTTTAAAACGGTTATAAGTGTTATTGAAAAATTAAAACCAGTACGAAATTCAGTCCCAATGCTTAAAAATGTAGATAATTTGGAAATCAAGCCACCTAGAAATACCATATTTACCAGCACCTCTAATGTTAATAGAAATCAAGATCAGTTAAAAAATGGTTTGAGAAGCAAATTAGATCACGGGGATGTGGGTCAGAATAACAAGATATTAAAAAATGGGGAAATTAGGCCACAGAAAAACGGTTTTATAAAAAATGGGTATAACGGTTTTTCACAACCAAATGGCTACAACAACGCCTCTAATATCTTCGAACAGCTAATAAAAAGTTCTACAGTTATTGATGATGTAGTTGATGAGGATGAAGAATTTCTGGAACTTCTAAAAGCTCCAGACAAGTATAAAACTAACAATTGTAATGAACTTTCATCCAGTCAGACCTCCCTATATAATTTTATTGAGGAGTTAAAGTCAACGAATAGTATAAACCCCACACATAAACCAAGCACAAATCACCCAAAATAAATAATAGTTTTGTGCATTATCATAGAAATAAGCCATTTATAGAGAAATATGTGTTGCGTAAAATAAAAATGATACATTTTCCACTCCAGGTGTTTTATTTTGGTTGTACTAATAATGTAAAAACTCTAAAGTAGTCCCAGTCGAATTAGGTTAAAAATCTTAGCTGTTATTTTTTCCGAAGTAAAACCCTAATTTTATTGGGCCAAAATGTAAATATTTACCAGATGACTTTGGTTTAAGGAAATTTTTTTATTAGCATACTCAGTAGCATTTTTAGTGGATAAAAAGTATCGGCCACTTTTACTCGGAACTGAAAGGTTTATTGCCAAAATCTCTGCCACGCGGCCACGTGTGGTAGAAACGGTTCTATTACGTGGTGACTACAATGGGGAACACTTTTTTAGTGTCAGTTACGTTCCAACAACGTTTATACCACGTTGTGATTACGTTTCTATAACGTCGAGGTATAGTGGCTAAAACTTAAGCGAAACTTTACTACTTTTTTCTTTATATCCTTGTCTCTTTCCAGCATATTATTTATTATTATCTTTGCTTGTTCTGAAACTGACACTGAATACTAAAACTATTATAATGTAAGAATACAACTTGCCAATAATATCTATAATTAAAATAATCAGAATACATAAAATTAACTCGAATAAAATTTTACTGTCAAAACATGCGTATCATAGCTAGAAATATAACCACGCCACGTTACAATATGTGGTAATAAAAAGGAATATAAAAATCTGCAAACTTGAAGGATCTAAAAATTATTTAAGTATCTAAAAACCTTAAATTTTTTTTATCTACGCCAGTGAGATAAGAACTTTTTATCCCACTCATTTTGAGTGAGATAAGAAGTTTATTAACGCACGCGTTTTTCTCTGCTTTTAACCAATCAAATAAAAAAGTAAAAATGTCAAAATGTCAAAATAACCCTAAATTAAGTCTTAGACAAAAATAATTACCGTTTATTTTTTCATTTAGAGGCGTAGATAAAAGTTTGTACAATATACGTGTGATAACGCTTTATTAACGTACTTTTGCGATTGCCCAACTCGTGCTACGCACTCGTTGGGCAAATTTCGCATGCGTACGTTAATAAAGCTCTTATCCCACTTATATCGTAAATAACTATTATTATTTCCAGTTACCTTTTCTACTACTACCACTTATAAATATTACTAAATTGATGTGGTTTGGTTGCCATTTCTATTCATAATCCATTTTAAAGTTTAGACAACTTTAAGGTGGTATCAAAAGTGGTCATAACGTTTCATATACCATACTGATACACCAAAAATTTATAAAACAATCAAGTATCACATGATTACAACTATGCTAATATACCTAATATGAAGATATTTTAACTGTATCGTGGTAGATTTAGCTATTTTATCGTAATTTCCCCTCATTTGAAGTTGCGATATCAGTTTTCTTGGGTATTTTAGTCCATTTATGATTTAAACAAACTAATGATTAAATGAATTTCGTTTGTTTATTAAAAATAAAAAAATACCGTTTCTGCCATAATGTGTTGAAAAGTTATATAAAATAATATTTAAGTAAATTTCGTTTGTTTATAAAAATACTGTTTGTGCCATAATGGGTTGAAAAGTTATATAAGTCACCTCCATTAAACACAACCAATCAGGTAGTTAAGTAAATTGAAATATGGGCGTAATAATAATTTATGATCACCAAAAACAGTTGAGACACTGGAATATACGTTTAAGTTATATTTTGCATAATATGTAGGTTGCAAATAAAATATTTGGAAAATGGATGCCGTTTTTGCTAGGAGGCATATTTGTAGGTGTTTAGGCCCAATCCAGGTAAATTAATGAAACATGGTCCCATCATCGCATATCTACGGATTAAAGTCGCCAAAAACGGTAGGCATAAACAGAATCATAACAAAAATAAGGGAGCCATGGCAACAGTAACGCAAAATCGTGATAAAAATTAAGAGTTTATGGCCATTTTCAATATTAAAACTGTCAAACATATCTGTTTTTAAGTTTATTTTAAAGAGTATAATTTATAGTTATAGTTTTATAAACGACATTTTAGTTATAAGTTTTATTGGGCAAGAGTAAAGCTTCCGAGCCAGTGTTTAATAAAAAAGAGTGTCTATGGATGTTTATAAAACGAGTTGCATACTATACTTTATCTACGACAAACAGAAATAAGAATTTAAAGCCAATTTTAATTCATACATTTTTGACATCTGATGAATTTAACCGCACTTTTTCGAAATTTATAATAAAGTTAACTTCAGCTCGTGACTAAAATGCCCAAAAGCCACTGTTGTTAACTTCAGCCCGTGACTAAAACGCCATAAAGTCACAGCTCGCCAATGTAGGAGTAGATAATAGTATATTATGTATCAAGTTTAATAAACGACATTTTATACACGAATTTAATTTAAATGATAAGTGTATAGAAAAGTTTATAAACGAAGTGCATACTATACTTTTTCTACGACAAATACGAATATACAAATATCTTAAAATAATTTAAATCAAATATTTCTATAGAGCTCCATCTATAAAACAATAGGGGAATCTGGGTGTCACCGTCAAATGCAGGGTATGTACTATAGCAAAGTATTATAGTACGTTAAAATAGTATATTTTTGATTAATAGTATTATTATTATAATACTTACCCACTTCTTAAAAAAATCTATAATTTTTAAAAAAGAAAACTAGGATTTTTGAAAAAGAAAACTGCAAAATTTGTATTTTCGCGCCCTCTTTTATGCAAAAGCAAAACTATCCACATGAAATAGCGTGGTGCGCATTAGCGCGTCGTGTGCATTTATTCTCTTATTTAACTGTTACTTTTATCATAGAAAAAGATTTTTATAGGTTATACGTCTAAATACAGTGTGTGCATTTTATGATAAAGGGTACCTACAGAATACATTTTCAATTGCATACAAAGTTTGTAAACTTATCAGTTATTGTCACAAAAAACGTTTTGTGAAAATAGATAATAAAAATTATATAGTATAATAAAAAAGCTGTCTTTATTAAAATTCTAACTGCTATTGGTAAAAAAGGGGAAAAATGTGGGCTCCTGCTTCTCAAAAACCTATACGTCATCTGTAGTATATTTTTTTTTTTAAATAGTATAATTAAATTGAGAAAATACTATAATGCATCTCAACCCAGACAGCAACCAATTCAGAAAGATTTCTGTACGAAGTCTGTTAAAAAACATCTTACTGAGGTCACATAATGACATCTTAGAGAAATCATTTTTAGGAGCTCAAGATTAAAAGTTCTTGATGAATTTATAAATAATAAGTCAATTTTTTTAACATCTTAAAGTTTCTTTTTTTCTGACCTCTTATTGGAATCAAAATTAGAAGCTACTAAGGGTATCATAAATAAGACTTCAGTTATATAATATCTTACTTCTTACTGAAATCATATTATTAACTCTTTAAGACGTCAACATGGAGACGTCACATTTATGACATTTTAATGCGATTACTTTCTTCTCACCGCTGTAACTGCTTGTGTTTGATATAAGAAGCGGCGAAGTAGAATTTAGAGCGTGCTCCATACCAAACGGTTTTAGACCTAGGTAAACGGCTACCCGATACTGACGAGCTCCAAAAGAGCGAAACAGGCCGTCTATCGGTGCCGGTGAAGAGCACGCTTGAATTTAAACAAAAGTGAGACGAAATAATCGCAATTCCTAAAATAAGCGAATACGAGCAAATTATTAAAATTATTTTAATAAAATCAATTTAACAAATTAATAAAATAAACTTGACATGTCAAAATAAGCAACGATCCAGTATGTAATTTGTTCATCAGTACCCTTGTAGTACTTCTATATCCAAAACGGGAAATTCTAAAGAAGTCTTTTTATAAGTTTATACAGTAGGACTCTTTAAAATGCTTAATTGCGAAGTCAAAGAAAAGGGTTCCTCAAGAGTTCTTTTATGAGAAGTCTTGATTAGTTCAATAGGTGCCGTATTCGAAGTCTTAAGAACTGCTTATAAACTTCTTTCTGATGTTGTATTTGACGTCCAAATCATAAAATAGAGCTTATGCAGACTTAATTAAGACGTCATATTGCTGTCTGGGAACCCTGCCTAAAAGAGATTTGACTTATGTACTTTATAGTATTAAGTTCATACCGAAAGAACTGATCTTTAAAATATGAAAACGTTTAATTTCCTATCTAAACAAGGTGCTAAATAGGAAGTCTATACTAAAAGGAAATAAAAGATCTTTAAAAAAGAAAAAGTTCCAACCTGACAAAAACCACCTAAGTTCCATCTACAACCCAAACAAGATTTGACCCGACGAAAACAATCTAAAAAAAAATTAGAAAAGAGTGAGGGCCCTCCTCCTTTTTCCGGGCTTGGGACCGGCAGGTTAAAAATACCTGGCGGAGTTACCCTCCACCGTCCTTATCATATTATATACCTAAAATTTCCTAAAACAGATAAAGTATTTAAATAAACAAAAACACGCAAAAAACAAATTTACTGGTTGTATACATACTCGCATATAAGATTCACTCGCACCCTGAAGTTCCAAGATGTCCATGTCAGGGCCAAATGAAGGAATTAGGGTAATAGGAAGGGTAGAAAAGGAAAACGACAGATAATAAAGTTACAAATAGATTAGCGCCGGTGCGCAACAACATGCTCCACGTTAAAAACGGGTTGGCACGGATTACCGATGTTCCGAGACAAAATCCAAAAAGTACTTTCAAGATCCATCTACCACTTTAATTTAATTCAACAATCTGAAGATTGTGAAATTGAACTAAAATGGGTCTAAATGGTAGGAATAAAAAGGAGGGTTTTATAGGAAACTCCTGGGCACCTGCACGGAAAAAAATCCCTTACTAGGTTTAAGAATAGTTCTATACTTCATGTTAGGAACTTGATTTAAGTATATTTATTATTTCTATGAGATTAGCGTACATTTAATCTAAGTAATGGGATATACTTAATTTTTAAGAAAAACTGTTACTTGATTTGAGATGAGTATTCTTGGATTGAGTTTAAAGGTATTTTATTTTAAAGAAAATTGGTATACTTAAATCAA